TAAGGGGAACTATGGGGGAGTGATCAGATCAAAACCACCTGAGTTCTCCAGGCTGGTGGCTTTCAAGTCAAAAAAACAAATGTCCATTAAACACCTGCCGTATGAAATGCATGGTATTATACAGGCACCTTGAGGAGCATCAAGACTTATTTGGTTCCTCTCAGAGCTTATAGCCTAGGTAAGACTAGTGAGAGGGGAAAACCTGAAAACTCTGTTTGTGTAACATAGATGTGGGTTCATTTGTCCATTCACAAGTACCTATTGAGCACCTGCAATGTGCCAGGCACTGTGCTGGGTACTGGGGGATGCAGCAGACAGCAAGGCAAGCAGTTCCTTAGCTGTCATGATAATTCTTCTGGTGTCTGTAGCTGGGGGCTATCAGTTGTCACTGTGCTCTGAGCCCTCCTCTGGTATGGGAATACTTCTTGCTGGGGATGAGAATGAGGAGGAGTTTTGTTCCCATCTCACTCATCTTCCCATGACCCTATTTCTAATGGAAGAGTATTTTTAGGACTCTAGGAACATCCCTGTTGGGAGGCAGGGGGTATGGCCTTTGCCACTGTTCATTCAGAAAGTGAACACTTATGGAGCACCAACTAAATGTGCTCCGACACGGCACTAGGCTCTGGGGAATCTAGACCGAGGCCGACCAGCTCACGTGCCAGTGGAGCAGATGGACATGTGATCAGGTCTCCCCAATACCATGGGATAAATGCGTAAGTACTAGAGTGGAGCCATGTGTATGGTGCTAGGAAGTCAGAGGGCCTGTAAGCCCAGCCAACCTGGAGAAGGTTTCCTGGAGGTGACATTTGACTGAAGTCATGAGCCATGAGTGGGAGTCACCAGGGAAAGAAGGCTTGGAGGGGTAATGGGAACTCTGAGTCCAGTGCTTCTTCCATCCCCCATGGTTTTATCACGCTGCAGGCTATGAGAAAAAGAAGGGCTGTTTTTTAAAAGCATAAGGAATCATCCAAAAACATCTGTATTTGTTTCAAATGGAAGTGACCACTGCCAAAAAACTACAGTTGTTTTGTCAGAACCTAGTCTGTATTTATTCCTTTGTCTTTGTTTAATTAAATTTATCCCCCAATGGTTTCCTTTGGGATAGTACAGATCATTAGTGGCCATAAATCCCCAACGTTCTAAAAACAGTATGAAAGGACAACATGAATGAAGCCAACTGGCAAGCTTGCTGTTTGTGGGACCATTCTTCTGGAATGCGAGCCATAATCCTTCTGTTCCTACCACGCTTTGCATCCTCACGTAGGTTTGAGAAGGGACAAAGGACAGCAAGAATTCTGAGACTTGTTTAAAGGAGGAAACTGAGTCTGGCAGTCTCAATAAAAGGGGGAGCTGGGCTGGCCGAGTGGCTCAGTTGGTTAAGAGCTCGCTCAAGAGTTTCAGCTCTGAGCAACAGCAGTTCGATTCCCGGCTCGAACTGAGCTGCCGCTGAGCTGTCAACAGGTGGCAGGATGGCTCAGCTAAAAAAATTAAAAATAAAAAAATAATAAATAAAAGGAGGAGCTGACTTCTAGGTCTGAGCACCTTTCCCTCAGAAGATTTTGAAGACTTCTTATCCAGTAGGTTCAACAACTCTCAACCTGGCTGCACACTGGTTATCTGAGAGCTGTCAGTATCCCATCCCCAGTCATTCTGATTTAGGGAGAAGGGCGGAGACTGGGCATCAGGATTTTCAAAAGGTCCCCAGATGGTTCTAGTGGGCAGCTGAAATTGGGCACTGCTGCTTCGGTAGCTGGGACCTTGCGGTTATTCCCAGACTGTCCTATGGGTGTCCAGCCCTGTGCTGAAAGGAATAAGCATTCATTGTCTCTCTCTACCTACCCTGTGAGAGGAAGTCTTTTGGAAGAAAAGATCATTGCTTTAAGGTTCTGGTTCATTGCTTTTGAAATGCTAATTTTGAAGAGGTTCTTTTGTAAGGCGTTGATTTTTTTCATTGTTATAAAAATGCTTGTTATAAATTCTTATTAGAAAATTTGAAAACAGAGAGTTATAAATAAGAGAATGAAAGTTACCTATACTCCCACCACTGCTTTCTAACCACCGTTAGGCAGGGTTCCAGGTGGACACAGAGAAGGAGTAAAGCAGCAGCTGGAACAGAATGGGGAAGACCCAGGGGCAGAGACTCCTGTCCCCCACCTCCAGAGTTGGGGTTGGAGTTAGAGGGGTAGGTTGTTTCAGTGTGCTGGGGTATCATTTTCTAGCCATCAAGCCTTTGTGCAGGGACACTCCCCTTCCAATCAGGGAGTTTAGAGTCTAGCAAGGGAGACACAGTACAGACCTCACTACATAAAGGCCTATGTGGTCAACATTGTGATACATGCCAAGAGGAAAAAGCGCAGGGCTGCATTGATGGGTGAGTCCAAGAACTCTGAAGAACACTTGAAGGTCCTCATTTCAAGAGGTTAATTTTCCCATCAACGTGCAAGCAAACCAAAGCTACTTCAGCCTGGAATTCAGAAAGCTACAGCTATTTCCAAACAAAGCAGCCATCTTCATGTAATTGTGCTAGAAGTCCTTTAAGTTTCCACCAGCTCTGAGACAAACTGTGATACTTCGAGATTTATCCTTCTAAAGGAAACTCACGTGAAGTCACCTGTCTGCCTTTTAAAGGATTTTACCTTGAGTGGTCCCCACTGCCTGCTGAATGGACTTGAGAGTACTCAGCCTGCTGTCAGGCCCTCTGCCTTCTGGTGTCAAATGTCCTTCCATTCCTCCCTGTTGCTACTTTCCTTGGAATTCCCAGAGTGAATTCAACTACCAGGCCTGTCCTGCTTTTCGCCATTTCTGCACATTTCCTCACACTGGTCCCTCAGCCCAGAGTGCCGTTTCCCTTCCTCCGTTCTCTCATACTTAACTGCTAGCTGTTCCCGAACCACCCTTGACTGGCGGTAATCCATCCCTTTTCTGAACTTGTATTGTCAGCATCTCTCTTATGGAGTTCTAGCATCTTCTATCATGTATTTTAGTTATTTAAGGTGGACCTGATAGCCACCCTGGCCTTTCCACTCTTCAGATGGGGCTAGTTTGTTCTATCTCAATTTGCATTTGCCAGTTCTTTCAGTCAGGAACACTCCTAGAACTTCAAGTTACTAACCCTTAGAAGACAAGCTGTGTGACCCCAGGACTGCTTTTGTTTGGTTCACCACTATCTCCCTAGTGCCTGGGACAAAGTAAGTGCTTCATTAATTGAATAAATGAAGAGTATCCTTTGATTCTGACTTTTCTTAGATCTCTAGCCTAGGCTTGTAACTAACTGTAGGTTTTGCCATTCTTCAATTATTTGCTATAATTTTTGCATGAGCTGAAGTTTTTTCTGGTTATTAGTGTTTTCCTTATATCTAAATCCATTGGAAAGCCCAACAGGATTTCCCAATTGGAAATCTAAGATACAAATATTCTGGTAATAGATAGATAAAGGAATTTGCACCTATAATTTTTTTCAACTAGCTTATTGATTTGGGAATGAAAAATTTTTTTGTGTATTTATTTATTTATTTATTTTTTATTGTTAGTTTCAGGTGCACAGAACAATGCAACAGCTACCCCCCTCACCCTCACAAAGCAACAACCCCCCGAAAATATTTTTTTTAGCATTTTAAAACCAGAATTTTTATTTGTGGGATCTTAGACTTTTTTAATGTTATGATATAGATTTTATTTTAAAAAATTATTTAATGCATTTAATAGAGGTGATGAATAAATCAACTTATATTTTTATCAATTTGATATTTTATATTTATCTAAAAGCATAATAAACTATAAAACTCAAAGACCTAGGAGACTACATTAAAGTGTACCTATTGGATTCAGGGATTAATCTAGCTTTCTAGTTAATTGAGTTTTTACTATAGGTATCATATTAACCTGACAAAAATTCTTTTTAATATATTCCTAATATATAATCCTTTTAATCCTCTCTGATTTTTCTCCAACTTTAATGGTAGAGTTACTGGAATAGCTAGTTATGAAACCAAGCCATTCTCCTTGCTGAGAAGGAATGTCATCTTGTCAGCCAGTTTGCACAGGAGAGACCAAATCGGTGATTGATTGAAAATGCCCTTAACCTTTTCATCCTCTGATATATTCTTCTTCCATTGAGTAAATGCATTCCTGTGAGTGCATTCTTACATTGTATTTGAGTAAATAGTTAGGGCTCAGTACTCTGTGGACATATAATAAATGCTTGACCAAAATTGGACCAACTGCTAATAGCCATACATCCATTTCTCTGCAGTAATCTTTGTTACCTCTACCTAACCTCTTCTGGCTTCCCGTTTTCCTCATTTGTTACTGGGGCGAATAAATAGAGTGCAAAGAGGATTTTCAAAGGTCCCTCTGGGAGACACACGGAATGAGGAAAAGCATGTTCAAAGAGGCTGATGCAGACTTGGGAATTAGAGGCTATTCTTAGACCTACCATGTTTTTGGTAGAATAGCAGGTCTTTCCACGTTGCTCTCTCTCAGCTGCCCCATCTGCAAAATGTGAAAGACAGTGCCAGATTACCTCAGTATACATGGCTGAGACCGACTGCAAAGCATTTTGGTTGTTGAAGAGTAGGAATGGTAGTTGGTGCGGATAAGTGCAAACGCCTGCTCTTGATAACTACCAGTTTGCTCAAAATGTTTCCAAAGCACTTTTGGTAACATGGGAAAATAAAAACTGATGTGACTTTAAAATTATTTAATGCACTTAATAGAAGTGAATAATTTCAATTTTGAAAAATGTTTTTATGTATACATGGAAACTCACCAAAATGTTAACAGCAGTTGCCTCTGAGTGGTAAGATTGCAGGTGGGCGGCTTACGGGTGGATTTTCTTTTATACAACAGATTTTTCTATGTTTTCCAAATTTTCCACTGTGATCATATATCAATGCTTACAATGTTTTGAAAAGTTATTTTAGCAGGTGCTGTAGAGTTGCTTGTGCTGAGGGTCACCTCCTTCAGAACTGGGTTCTAATGGCGTGACTTTGCCCCAGTCCAGGATCTGTGTGCGGTGGAGGACCATGGCTGTGAGCAGCTCTGTGTGAACGTGCTAGGCTCCTTCGTCTGCCAGTGCTACAGTGGCTACACCCTGGCTGAGGACGGGAGAAGGTGTGTGGGTGAGTATTCCCTCCAGCCTAGCTTAAGGAGGAAGGACAAGTTAAGCATAGTAAGGAGGGAGGAGGAACCTCCTCCCCGCCCCCCCCACCCCCCACCTCCTGTATATCCAATTGCTTTCCTTTGAGTTTCAATAAAGTGCTTAATCCTCTGGTCTAGTTGTTAAAATTGGAATTTTAAAGACTTCATTTATGGCTGAGGTTAGCATTTTTTTATCGGGTCCTCTGCAAAGGCGTATTTATGATACTCTGTGTAAGTATTGTTGTCTGTTGCTGCAATCTTTAAAAAGGACTGGGTAGATTTTCATCAGATTTGGAGGCTGTTTGGGATGGCCTGACTTAAATATAGCTCATGTGTTATATACATGAAGTTCACTCGGTGGTGGGCGAGGGTGCTGAGTGGCACCTCAAAGACGTGGGCAGCCGTCCTCCTAAGTATTGGATCTGCCAAGTGACCGTCAGTTGTAAGAGCCCAATTGTATGTAATAAGACACCATGGTCAGAGAAAACAAATGGTAGCCTCAAACACAAGCCCCAGCTAAGGAGTGTCAAGGGTAGAGCTTACAACTTCAGGTACTGACTTGTAATCAATTGAGCAGTACCCTACTTGGGTGACTCTACATTGCATAAGCCAGTGAGAGGTAGGAAAGGTGGGGTGACATCTGATTTCTTCAGTGATGGATAATGGTACTCTTCAGCACCTGCAGAGCAGGCCAGCAAATCCTTAATGGCACCTCCCAGTTTGTCTGCAAAGCCCTTTAAACTTCCACCGTCTCATCCTTTCACCAAAAAATAATGCCTGGCAAATAGTGGATATTCAGTAAACTGAACTGGAAAGTTATGAGGCATAAATCTGGAAGGAAAGGAAGGAAAAGGCTCGACTGATAGCAGAACTGGAACCTACATGTTCTGACTCTAAGTCCTGCATTTTTGTTCCACAGCCCATTGCTCTCAGGGGCCCTGTTATGTCTTGTTTCCCACAAACAGTGAATGATTTTTTGTTGTTGTTGCACATAGAATTTACATTTCCAGCATACCTTGAGGTTAGCTAAGGATTTGGAAAGGATAAGCAACAAAACATAAAGGGTAGGTCGTGGCCTGCTCTTTGCAGGTGAGAGATGAGGGTATCACGGGTTTGCTTTTACATTGATGGGGATGAAAACCTCCCTCGTTGGAGGTTCACAAATGAAATTGGACTCCTGAGTGTCAGAGTTGATTTTTTATCCCTTAATCTGCTGGTGGTAACCATGATAGGTGGCACAGTACCATATCCACTAACGCTGGAAAAACAGAAGACAACATAGTAAATACCAAGTCTTATGATTTTTGCTTACCTAATTTTATTATATTAGTAATATATTTTCATCAAGGAACTTAAACACTGAGACTATTACTATTAATAGTTTGTCGGTTTTTTTTTTTTAAAGATGTATTGGGGAATTGGGGGAAGGGGACAGCGTTAGGGAACTGGGGAAGGGGAACAGACAAGTTGCTGTCGTTTTGTTCTTCAGTCTAGTTGTGGAGGACGTCGCTTCACTGGCCCATGTTGGTATTATCATTGCGCTCTTCCCAGGTGAGGCAGATCGGTTGCCGGCTACTGGACGGCCACTCACCGCGGCTCTTGGCAGCTCACCCCGGCTGCCGGCCACTCACGGTAGATTTACGGCAGCCCACTGCAGCCCCACTGCAGCCTACGCCGTCACTGGCAACTCACGGCAGCTCAACTCCAGGTCAAGCTGTTGTTCACCATCTTAGCTGTAGAGGGCAGTGTCACTGACCCGCATGTGGGATCCGAACCGGGGCTCTGCTGCTCAGAGCTGGTGTCCCAAGCCAACTCTTAACCAACGTGCCACTCGGCTGGCCCTAGTTTGTTGTATTGTTTGCCAGACTTTTCCCCATATAGATAGCTACCTCAAAACATTTTGTTAATGTTTAACAAAATGAGTTCATACTATCTATTTTGTTTTACATATATTTTTTCCCTTACCATTTGTTAAATGGGTGGAAACTTTGGGTGCTTTAGGGTCAGAAGGAAATCAGGCTATTGAGAGTAAGGCTAGTGGGTGAGCTTCAGGAAATAGGGTGAAGGTATCTAGTATATTAGCACGAGGAAAGGAACAGGGAGAGCCCGGAGCTTGTGAGGGTGACAAACAGTAGACAGGGCAGGGGCAATGAAGACCATGGCTAGGGCAGGGGTCCTACCTTCCTTGGCCCTTGGGAAACTGGAAGGCAGTGAGGAACCCAGTTCTCTGAGTGTTGCCAAATAACTGCCTAACTGTCCCTATGTAGTATAGCACATTTGTGTCTCTAAGGGCTTTGCTGTAACTTCTGGAATTTGACATTTATTGAAGAGCAACAAGCATGAGAATAGATGCTGTGGTTGCCAGGGAGCTGTTGTGGGCTATGTTTATTAGAGATGGGTGTTTCTCTTGCTGTTGCTATCAGCATGTAGGAATGTCTGCCTTTCAGGGTGACCAGTTAACTCAGTTGGTTAGAGCATTTTGCTGATAACACCAAGGTTGCTGTTCCATCCCTGCATGGGCCACTGTGAGCAGCACCCTCCTTGAGAGAGTCAACTATGCCACTGTAGCATGAAAGCAATGTGTAACCAATGACCATGGCTGTTCCCCAATAAAAAGAAATTAAAAAGGAATGTCTGCCTTTCCTCAAAGCAAGGGGATCCAGGCAAAAGAGTGGGAAAATAGGAGAGACTATGTGGACCCAGGTCTTATCATCAGGTGTTCCTATCATTAGCATCTTCAACCAAGAACTTGAGGCTGAGAATGAGATGATTAAGTGATAATCTTTGTTGCTGGTTACCTTGGTTACAGAGACAGAACAAATTCTCAAAAGATCATTTGCTGCTCTATGGGGCTGTGCTGAGTGCAAAGCAAATGGTAGAGGTAATGGAGACTCCAGAAGGTCAGAGCAAAGGGACATGAGAATGGCTGGGGCGGGGGTGGGGAGCAGAACCTGAGCAAGGAAGGAAGGGTAGCAATTGGACAAATGTCCAAGGCAAGGGGAGACATGAAGGGCAGCGATGGTGTGGAGGTGGCAGTGCTCACCAAGCTTAGGAGATGAGCCGGGGGGGGGCAGGGCGCGGAGCAGGCCTTGCTCCTGGGAGCTGATAGGTCAGCAAGAGACTGTTACAATGGGAACGCCAAATTGAAAGCTAAACATACAGCCTAACCTGAGGACATAAATCTGAAAGGGCTTGTCAGAGATGGCAGGTATCAGACTTAGAGCAGGAAATTGAGAGGAGAGCAAAAGCTGGTAGCAACTCTGGAAGAATTCCATTAGCAGCTGCTGTGAGGTGGCCTCTATGTAGGTGGGCAGGGAATAGTAAGAATGTGGTGACCATAAATCCCAGTTAATCCAGGACACTCCCAATTTATGCCTGTTGGCTTAATTCTCAACAGCACTCCTTTCACTTTCAAAGGGATTCCAGTTTGATGGTAAATTATATGATCACCCTAGATAGGGCCAGCCAGCTTGACTTCAACAGTTAAGGAGATTAGCTCTGTCAAAGCAGAGAATTTCTACAGGTGTGAAGTAGGAGATAAAGTTTAAGATACCGGGAAGAACCAGACTGTTCAGGCCTTTGAAACTCAGGCTAAAGAGTCTTGGACTTTTATCTCTGAAAAGAAACTACTGAGGGATTTATACTTGGGAGTGACAAATGTAAAGCCTCATTTTAGGAAACTTAATCTTGTGGTAAACTGCAGGGTGAATTCCAAGAGGAAGGTGGTGAGGGCTGGAAAGACCAGTTGGGAGACTACGGTAATTATCATAAGAGAGGTGACAAGAGCCAAGGTTTAAGTAGCAACTGTAGGAATGGAGAGGGAAAGAATAAGGGATCAAAGAAAGTGCTGTAAATAAGAGAAGGTGAAATCACAAGTGACTCCTGAGTTTGAGCGTCCGTGACTCTGATGGTGATGGGAACAGATTTTTAGAAAAGATAATGAGTATTTGTAGACAAAGTGAGTCTGAAGTTGAAGTGGGACGCCAACAAGTTCATGTCCAGAGGGAACAGAAAAACGGCACTAACACCACAGGGAGAGATTAGAACCAATGACGCAGTCAGGAAGCAGCATAGTCTATTACTTTCTAAATTTTAATTTCCATGTGTTTTTCATTTAAAATGTTTATTTATGTGATTTTTGTTTGTTTTGAAGGCACCTGGACCTTCAATACAGTAAGACCCGGGCTCAAATCCCAGTTCTGCTACTTGCTAGTAATGTATCTTTGCATGTCATTTACTTTCTGCAGTTTTCTCATCCATAATGTAGAGTAAGAGGATTTTGTGGGAGTAAGTAAAATAATGAGTGAAGTTTCTAATACGCACGAGGCAATTTATCATTATTATTAATATAACAGAAATTATTATCATCATTTCCAGATACCCTGAAGGGTAGAGTGAGGAGAGAGCGAAGACCTGAGCCTTGGGTTGTAGCCACACGTAGGGAGCAGGAGGGAGAAGGGGAAGCAGGAAAAATATTTATGAAGGAACAGCCTAAGGCAGGGAGTGAAGTAACGGGGGTGGGAAAGAGAGACTCAGAAGAGTCACGGAGTGTGGTAGGAAAGAGAATTCTAGGCCAGGTCTATATTAATGTCATGCTCCAGCAGGCCAAAGGAAATAGAACTTAGAGAAAAAGCCATTCAGTTGAGTCATTGATTCATCTTAGTAAACATTTTAGAACTCTCTGCCAGGCACTCTGCTAGGCATCAGGGACACAAAGATGACTAGGAGACCTGTGATAACGATCAAGGGGTGGGACAAAGGGCAGATTTCAAGGGGTAGGGAGTGGGTGATGAGAAAGTGGGGACAGCAAATCTAACCTATTCATTTAAAGAAGTTTGGTAGAAATTCACCATGTTCAACTACTGGTGAATGGACGCAATGGGTTCCGTAAGAGTGGTTCTAGTATTCTGATTCATCCCATAAATATGATTGTGACCTGCATGAAAATTCAATTCTTAGCCAGAATCAGGACTTTTAGGCG